TCCGCTATAGTATTAGCTAGTTTATAGGTCTTCACTGTTACAGAAGCAATGGCAGCTGGAATTAGTTATTATTATTATTATTATTATTATTATTATTATTTAAAGCCATGGTTTGTTCGTTGTCTTGTTTTTGTTTTTTCTTGAATTATCAAAAAAAAAATCAAAAGCATTTATGGGTACTGACAAGATAACTAATCTAAGTCGATGAAGAATAGTGTGGGTAGGAGTGATCCAATAAAAGAGAAGCAGCAGCGAAAAAGAGGTCCGACGATTGAAAACGAGAGAGAGAGAGAGAGAGAGAGAGAGAGAGAGAGAGAGAGAGAGAGAGAGATGAGTTCAGACATAATATAACAATTTCCTCTCAAAATTTCTCCAAGTATGGAGAGAAAATGTGTCAGCGTTCACACTTTATTTTTTTTTCATATTTTTCCTTTCTCTCACTTTTTCTTTCTCATCCAAATAAGGAAAAACATATTTTCTTTCTTATTTTCCTCCCACATTTTCTCTTCATCCAAACAGAGTATAAAAGTTGCATTATCCTTTAACATTTCACTAAACTTTGAGAACATTAAAATTTCCTTTCATTTATTTGGAAGGATAAGAAGTAAGATAAATAATGGATTGAACATTTAATTGAACAAAAGATTCAAACCAAAATTAAGATGATCAAACTTTGCTGATGAATCATCCATTCTATTGATCCACTTCATTTTTCTTTGAGAAATTAAAACTGAGTAAAATTTGGGAAAGCAAGTTTTCAATGAACTATTGACATTATAGAGAATCCAAAGAAATCACAAGTTTCATTTTCTTCATATGATCAAATCAAAGCCAGAAGAAGAATAAGTTATGAAGTCCTTGTTTCAAAATGATGTTTATCTTAACATATCAATGGTTCATTAGATTATGATATTTGGAACATTTTTGACAATCCAAAATCTTCCTGTTACAAATTATTGGACTGCAACTCCATTTGATGGGCTAACTTAATTATTTTTATTAATGAATCAAAATTTATATTTACTATTTATATTTTGAGTTTTGAAATTCAAATATAGAGAAGGCTTAATTATTTAAGGAGTTAATGTAATCAAGCTTTAATTTGCATTTCTTTTTCTTTCATCTTTCAAGCAAGGTTCTGAAAATCAGATAGGTCATTAGATCAATTGAGTTAATGGTTCATGGATTAGTGTGGTCTAACCATAATTAAATCGAGATCAACCCAATCATAATTAACATAATATTCATAAATATATAAAAATATTTATATATGACCCTAAAAAGAGTAATAATCAAATAAAAAAGCATTAATTAACAAGGAAATAGAACATTCATGTAAAATAAACTACACATAATCCAACAACACGAAGTTACTAAAGCATAAATCTGACATATTGTGATTTTTTTTTCTCCCCTTTTAACTCAAAATGATGTTGTTTCAAGCTAAACAAGGGGAGGGAAAAAATTATAAAATATGACTATCTGATGCATCCAAATTAAGACACTTCACCAAACCGATGAAGGAACTGGTTCACCAATTCATTAATTTACACGGCTAACCCAAGTTGAGTTTTAATACCACACTCTCAACTCTCTCTTTTTTGTTCTCTAACATTCTCTCCCTCTTTGTCGTGTCATTTCCAGTGGACAACAATTGGAATGGGTTTGTGATTTCGATTATATCATATGAAGCGGAAGATTATTAGCTAGAGAATGAATTAGTTTTTTTTTTTTGGCCAAAATATAGCTTGGCAATTTCCTCCTCTACTAAAAATTCTTCATTTTCCAATCAAATGATGTCCAAATTTCAAGCACTCAAGATGTGGAAGAAAGAAAAAGTAACTGGTTTATGAATTTGGACTTACCTCGGATCATCTCACTAAAGCCGTAAAAGAAGAGTAAATTGTTTTATGAGTAACATGATATTACATTGTTCTTTTTTTTTTTTTTTAACAATAGCATCATTCTTCTCTTTTTAACAGAGTTAGAAAATCCAGATCGTTCTAAGAGTGGATGAGAAAATAAGCTGCGTTGAAAAATGCTACAAAGATTCTTAGGGAGAGAGTAAAAAATAGAAAGGTATATCTTTCTGTTCAATCACCACCAAAATAAAAAAAAAAAAGATGAATTCTCCATGGTCAAAAAATGTAGATTGCCATGGTCAAATAAAATTCTAAAAAAAAATGGGATTGTTTGGTTCTGTTTTTTATTTTTATGTTTTTAAAATAATTTTATAAAATAGTTTTTTAAAACAAGTTTTGGAAATAAAAATAAAAATATATATTTAAATCATTATTTAAAAAAATTCTAAAGTGATGAAATAGATGATGAAATAATAATTTATTTAATTAATATAACTCTCATTAATGAAATCGTGATATTTTTTTTTTTATCTTTTCGTTAGTTTTGTAGAGCAAAAGGTAACACAACCTTTAAAAGATATTTTACTTTTTTAGTTCTTCATAGTAACTGTTAATTTTTTTTTTGCAGAATAGATAATAAAAAACACATTTTTAAATAGAATTTTGCATTTTTTTCAAGATAAAAAAACTATTTTAAAAACAAGTAATCAAATGTACCATATATATTTCTATTCACAATAATGGACATTGGCATTCATTGCTTATCAACTTGATGAGCATCAAATGCTCATCTTTTAAATGGTATCGTTTGATTAGTATAGAGAAACTTAGACCATTCAATTTGAAATAATCTTAGCTATTCTCTTAAAAGCATGGGCTCAGGTTGTATACTGTGGTCAAATCAGCTTGTTCCTTCAGTGAGTCATTCCTTTTTTACACACTGAAAGTAAAAGTTTAGCTTCCTTTTGCATATTTGCCAAAGTATCTCAATTTAGCACAAACAAGTGGAATATATTTCTTTCTTCAGAACTTGACAGAAATATATATATATATATATATACACACTCCCTTCATTTAAAAATATAAAATATTTTTAATCAAATTTCACTTTCAATAAAGTAATTATTTATTTTTAAAGTAAAACTATCTTTTCATATTTACCTCTATGTGATAAAGTATTTCATTTTAAAATAAATATAAAGTGATTATTTAATAAGGATACTTTTAAAAAAAATACAATAATTACACCTTGAAATACTAAAAATATCTTACAGTTTTTAACATTTAACCTTTCAAAAAATGCCTTATATTTCCTTCATCCCAAATTATAGGATACTTTTGAAGGAATTTTTTGTCCCAAAATATAAGACACTGTTAATAGATTAAGGTTTTATTAAATGCACTAATTTTAATATTACCCTTCCTCTCTCTATAATTAATTTTTGTTTCTTCTCTTTTTAATATATTAAATGATGGGCATTTTTAGAAATTTATATTTTTATTTTGAAAATATAAGGTTGTTGGGTGTATTTAATAAAGTTTATTGGTATGTAAGATTTTATCTCAAAATGTCTTATAATTTGAGATGGAGGGAGTATTTTTTAATGGAGGGAGAGTATATATATATATATATATATAGATAGCAAGTTTCTTTGTCGAATATGAATCTAAAATAGGGTCTTGGCTACTTTGTTTCTTAAATATTTTTTTTTTTATGGCTCATGATTGAATCAGATTATATGCTCACACAAATTCTGGTTATTAATGTGTTTACCTTTTTTTAAAAAAAATTTGGGAATCTCGTTTCTCACACGTCTTAACTTGTATAATTACGTACTTAAGAGGAAAAGAATCATGAAAAGCAAAGAAAAGTGATAAAAAGAATTTATAGTTGTGGTCGATTATAATGCATTATTTTTAGGAACACCATAGCTAGGTAGTGCTGTGCAAAAAAATCTCAAACTCGGTCTGTTTGGTTTGACCCGGTGTGACCCGGTCTAACCCGGTCTCAAAAAAATCAACCCAAATAAAAGACTGGACTAAACGGGTCAGACTACACATACGGGTTAGACCAGATTAGAGACTGATCTTTTGGACCAATTAGTCTGGCCCGGTCCAGGTTATTTTTTTAATATTAAATATTAAATAATTATATTATTTACACACAAAAAATGAAAAAATCTCACGCTGACAGACTGACTCGCTGAGCTTCACGTCTCACGCCTCAGTTACAGTTCCTCACACGCATGCCTCGAATTCGGTCTGTGAAGTCTGAGTGTCTGTTTGAGGCTCTGAGCTCAGTACCCTCATTTGTCATTTCTCCCGTTGCCCTAGCTGTAGCTCTCTGGTTTCACTCATCTCTCTGCCTTTCCTTGGTCGGCCATTGCTCTGTTTCTCCTCAAGCATGCCGATGAAGAAGAACATCACGATCGCTTGACTACTTCACTCAGCCTTTCGATTCATCGTGCATTTTCCTCCTTCTTCTCTAGCGACAGCGTCGGCAGTTGAAAGGTATTCATATTTTATGGTTTTTCTTCTGGTTTTGCTCTCTCTGTTTTTAGTTTTTCTTCACTCAGCCTTCTGATTCATCATGCATTCTGGTTTTTCTTACTTTGTTTCTGGCTTCTTCAACGATTTCTGTTCCATTTTCGCATGCTTCTGTTCTGTTACTTCTCTCTTTCTGGTTTTGTTTGCTTTTCGTTGAGGCTGCTACGGTGAGAGATGTACTATTGTTGCCATTTTCAAAAGTTCACATTTCCACCCTTTTAGCGAGAGACACTTCTATTGCTGCTATAGACTGATGATTGATCTTTTGTTGCTAACTTGCTATAGATGGCTTCGGTTTTGGAGGATCATTCCTTATTTTTGGTTGATATAATCTGATATTTATTATATTTTCAGTGAGGTTGCTATTCTGATATTTGAACCTTATATCAGTATTTTGAGGATAAATTTCTACAACAATTAGATTACCTGTGCTTATAATATTAATTGTTGGATTTAGTTTGTTGGTGATCATGACAGAGAAGTGGCTCTGTGCCTCTGTATATGTCATACTTCTTTGAGAAAAGTCTGACTTTATACTTGTATTTGTGATTTTATAAGTTAACATTGTGTCTTGTTTTTCATGTTAGAAACATGGTGGACGAAACTTCTGCATCTGCTAGTATTGACCAACCCTTGCCATCACAATTAATTGATTCTAGTCAAAATGAAATGCCACCTCTTACTGGACCAACTCCACCAACTCCTCCTCTTGTAGCTATTGATCCTGCCTCTAACCTTGCACAAGATTGTGGTCCAGAGAATGTGAGCAGAAAGAGAAAAGAGCCTGCGAAAAAGAGTAAACAATCACAAGTTTGGGAGCATTTTGTGAAGTTACCTTTGGAAGAAACAAATAGAGAGGTTAGAGCTTCTTGCAAATACTGTCATGCAACTTATGCTTGTGACCCAAACAAGCATGGGACAACATCATTGAAAAGGCACTTTCCAAAATGTCCTAAAAACCCACATAAAGCTACCACAATACCAAAGCAATCAATGTTGAACTACGTGACGCCAAGTGGACAAGGAGGGGGCTTAGTCTCTCATGTTTTCAATCAAAAACGATGTAGAAGGGCATTGGCTAAATTTATTATTTGTGATGAGATGCCATTTAGGATAGTTGAGAAGTATGGGTTTAGAAATTTTGTGAGAGAGCTAGAACCAAGATTTCGAATCCCTTCGCGAACAACAGTTGCTAGAGATTGTTGGCAACTATACCTTGGAGAAATCAAGATATTGAAGCAAGTGTTGAAGAAGTCTGCAAATCATGTTTGCTTGACAACTGATTGCTGGACATCTACTCAAAATTTCAATTACTTACGCCTTACTTGTCATTTCATTGATCCTGAGTGGAAGTTGCACAAGAGGATATTAAATTTCAGCATGATTGAGAATCATAGGGGTGACACAATTGGAAAGACAATTGAGAAGTGTCTATTAGAATGGAGAATTGAGAGGGTGTTTACCATAACAATGGACAATGCATCATCTAATGACACGGCTTTGTCTTATTTGAAAAGAAGGCTTAGGAATTGGAAAGGCATGGTTTGTGGGGGTGATTACCTTCAATTAAGATGTTGTGCGCATATTCTTAACTTGGTGGTTAATGATGGGTTGAAGGAGTTGAAGAACAGCTTTGATGCAATTCGCAATGCAATTAAATATGTTCGTTCTTCTCCTGCTCGTCTCCAAAAGTTTAAAAGTGTTGCTGAGTTGGAGAAATTAGACACTACTAGCCTTGTTTGCCTTGATGTCAATACTCGGTGGAATTCAACTTACTTGATGTTGGAATCCGCTTTGAAGTTTCAAAAGGCTTTTGAACGCCTAGAAGATGAAGATGAAGATTATATGGGGCAATTCATTGGAGGCACTAAGCGTGAAGGCCCTCCTAAAGCTAGTGATTAGAACAAGGCACGTGTCTTTCTCAAATTTTTGAAGGTATTCTATGACATAACTTTGATGTTTTCAAGTTCACTAAATGTTACTTCTAACACTTGTTTCCATCAAATTACTCTTATTCATGAGTTGTTGGAAGAGAACATTGTGAATGTTGATCCTTTGCTTATGGAAATGTCCCTAAGTATGAGAAGCAAGTATGAAAAATATTGGGGTCAAACAGAAAATATGAATCCTTTGCTCATTGTAGCAGTGATTTTGGATCCTTGGTACAAGCTAGCTTATGTGAATCATATATTTGAGCAGCTTTTTCTTGATCTGAAGTTTGCATGGCCATGAAAATTAAGATCAAAGATGTCTTGTACCGTATGTTTGATGAGTATTCTAAAGGACTAGGGACTAGTACCCCAAGCAATGCTTCTTCTTCTACACTTCCAGGATCATCAACATGTTCAATGCTTGAAGGCCAAGGGGGTATAGATCCAGGTCACAGGTGGTTAGCATCTCAAAAAGAAAAAACCTCATTAAACCCACAATCAGAATTAGATAAATATCTTTCATCTAATTCTACTGATGATACCCCTGTTGATGATGATTTTGATATATTAGCATGGTGGAGAGCCAATTCTAGCAAATACAAGGTTCTTTCTATGATGGCACGTGATGTCTTGGCGATTCCAGTGTCTACAGTGGCCTCTGAATCAGCCTTTAGCACAGGAGGACGTGTAGTGGACTCTTATAGGAGTTCATTATCACCAAAGATGACTGAAGCACTTATATGTGCTCAAAATTGACTGCTTCCTGGACAATCCATCTCTGAATTTGCATCCATGCTTTAAGAATTTGATAATTTTCAAGAGACCGAGGGTGTGGTGAAGACTGGTATGTGTTGCAATGATGATATTGACTATTTATATTTTATATGAATTATTATATGTTTCAGTTGTATTTTTTTTATTTGTGATGTAATGCCATTGACTATTTATATTTTATATATTTTTTCATATCTTTCCAGTGTTACTGATGTTGGAGAGGATGGTTGTGTGAGCGTCATTTGATGTTGTATGGCGCTTATGTTTGTTAACTTTTAAACTTTCAGATATTTTGGATATATTTTGGGCACATCTCACTAACTTTTTGTTATGTGAAGAAGCATGATGATAGTTTGATAGGCTAATGCTTATTTTTTGGCTAGCTAGCTATATCATGTGGTTGGCTAGAATATATGGATAGTCATTTTTTTGGATAGACTATAGAGCTTGACAATGAAATTTTAAATTGTTAACTAAATAGACTATAGTGAGATGTATATATTTTGAATATGAATATATTAATGAGTTTATGTATTTGCGTCACTCTCATGCATGCTCTCATTCCTCTTTAGCTCAAGACTTGGAAAAAAGAAACATATGCAAAGCATATATGTTCTATTGTGTTTTCATGCCATACGTAGACAGCAAAAACATTAAACAATATAAAAAAAGAAAGGGGATATAAAAAAAAGCCTATGATATTAATGCAAGCGATTATAGGGAAGGGGATATAAGGGCTTTTTTTTTGGAGAGAGTTGGATTCAAGAAACTGGACTGGTCCAGTAACTCGGTGGACCAAGTCCAACCCGGTCTAGGTCCCGGGTCCAACAAGACTGGACCAGTCCTTAGACTAAAAATTCTAGCCCGGTCTCCATTCAGACTAGACTTCGGGTTGGCATCCAACCCGGTCCAGTTCAGTATTTGTGCAGCCTTAACTATAGCTTTTGTGTATCATGCGTCAATCAATAAGGCTACGTTTGATTTGAAGGAAGGGGAGGCGATGGAGGGAAAGAGAGGTGCGAGGAGAGGAGGGAGAGGAGAGGGGAGAGATAGATCCCTCCATTTGGAAGGGAGGTTTTGAAGGGGAGGGGAGGAAAAATTTTTAATAGGAATTAGTTTTAATAGGTGGGATAGTCTATTATAATATAAAGGTTTGAATCACTGATGAAAATTGAGAAATGTGTTTATATTTAGTATTTAATTGTATTTTAAATATGAATATGATCATCTCTAATAGGAGAATAATAAAAAATATATAAAACAAAGTTTCAAGGACCCAAAAAAAAAAGCCGGCACTAAATAACAATCAGAGTCAAAACAAAACAAAACAACTAACTAATTACTTTTCTATCCACCAAAGCACTGTTTTAAGAATTAGACTTGACTGATTGAACCATCAACTGAAGTCATTAATAGATTGATTTAGACAAAAGAAAAAACCATTTTCATGGTTGAGTTTGGTTAGATTGGAGTTGAACAACCATCGAACCTGAAACCAAAGTTAAGCCAGAAGTCAAAATGATATATTGGTATATAGAAAACCAAACAGGTCCAAACGTAATAAAAAAAAAAGTTAAAACATTTAAGGAAAAAATTGAGAAAAAAATTAAAAATTAGATCCCTATGAAAGCCATTTTCATTTTTAGACTCTTCACATGTATATAATATAATTTTGGATCATTTTTATAAGATGTTGTTGGTTATAAGTGAAAATGTAGATACTTTTGCACCAACTAATACATGATTTAACAAAGATCCACCCATATTTTACAAGTTATAAAATAATAATTTAAATGTTATTAATTTATGGTTGTATTATTTTATTAACAATAAAACACAGTTTTGATTTATTTCTCATATATAATATATGTATGTATTTAATATTATTTTTTAAAGTTAAATGGCAAATTTATCCATGAATTTTTTTCCAAGGTAGTTAGTATTGAGGATGCAAGAGTGCCCATAACATTAATGAAGTAAGTGTAACAGTGCCAAAACTGTTAAATTTGACTAACATCCATTAATGTTGACCTTTGAAAAAAAGAAAGAAAATGTAAGGTGCAAAAATACTCAAATTTTTTTTTTTAGAAACTTTTGGTATCCTAAAGTCAACAACGGCGCATTATTACCCATTAATTTTATAAAATAAGCTAACATTTTTCAATCCATTAAGTTTTATTCTCAAAACTTCATGGTCAACATCAAGTTATTCTAATAGATTAGAATGAGTTAGATACAGTAATTTGGATTAAGCCCGATGTATTAGCCTAAATAAGCTTGAAAGATTTTAATATTGGGCTTAGGAGTTTAGATTATTTTTTAAAAAACTTTGAGGCTTATTTGGGTCGCTTGAATAAGTTAGAAAAAATTTAAGCCAAGCCCAAACAAGAATGGACTTTGTACAAATACCTAAATTCTTTTTTATTGTTAATAAAATGAAATTAAAATTACATAAAATTTAAAAAACCATCATTTTTTAAGATAAATTGAAATTGACTAAAAAAGAAAAAAGGAAATAAAATAATATTTTTAAACTCGAGAATTCGAGCCAACTCGAATAAGCTTGAAAGCCCAAATTGTTAGGGTCAAGCTTAATTATATGGCTTCTTTTAAAAAGTTAATGGGTGTCCATATATTATTGTTGACTTAAGAATATCAGAAGCTCCTAAATAAAAAATTTATAGGTATTTTTGTACATTAACTTATATTTGCTTTCTTTTTTGTAACAAGTAATGTTAATGAACGTTAGTCAAAATTAATAATTTTGTCATTTTTGTACTCACTTTATAAATATTATGAGTGCTCTTCCACCGTTCTTCACTTGAGGATACTTGGCCCCCCATGAGAAAAAGTTTGTCAGTATTTTTGGCTCTTAATCTTATTTTTTACTTAACTTTTATTTAAATATTATGTTAATAATTTGACTGTTGGTCTAATCAGTTATACCATTACAATTAAAACACACTAATTTTTTTTCAATTTAACATGTGATCCTATTTTTAAAACATTACTCCAAAAAAAGTGAATGATGGTGGTTCCCACACCAAACCATTTAGTTCCGTTTTCCTTGAAATTGAACCAGCCAGCCAGCTTCAACATCACTTCCCATGGTCAATTGGTTTCCATGCATAGTGGAAAGAAATGGAAGTACTTAATTTGTATTATGGAAAGTCAAAAATACCTCTGACAAATTATTTTATGATTTAAGGGAGTGGGTTAATTTAATTAATCTGTTTTCTTTTAAATAGTGATTTATAATCCTTCTTTTTTTTCATATGCTAATTTACCAAAAACCAATCAATAAAAGTATTCCCCGTTCGTTCATACCTATGCCAAACATATTTATTTATTATGTCTCTTTCAATTTCATTCCCATCTTCAATCTCATTTCCATTTTATTTATTAAATATCTGTTCTCTCTACTTGACGATGAAGAAAAAAGGAGATGTACATGATTGCATGGCCTTTGACTCTGACTTGAGAGTTGAGAAGTAGTTTACAGTGAACATGGTGCTAACACTACTTTGAGAAAAATTATAAATAGAGTGTGTAAATTTTGTAGTTAACCTTGTCCCCTTTACTTTTAATATTTTACATTCCTAGACTAAATTAAAAATATCTAGATTCAAGAGTTCATTAGATATATAATATTTTAATTATCGATATAATATATATATATATATATAAAGCACATGTTTATATATTAAAGACTATATCAATTTGTTCAATATAGTTGTTTGCTATCACTAATTAAGTAAGATGCAGTGACCTTAAGAAACTTGAATGCAAGGGCAGGGATGAATCCAGAGTTCTAAAATTTCAAATCACATAAAATATGAGCTGCCAGAATTAATTTTATCATTTTTTATAAAGAAAAAAGAAGTTCCTTGAATGCAAAGAAAGTGTGGGCAACATGGGAAAGTTGAGTGAACAACAACCACATCCACAGTCAATATTCTTTACAAAAACCATTACATTCTAACCTCTCTCCTCTCTTTACTCTTTTAATTTAATGTGAGTATGAAAGGCATGTAAGCCTCAAGGCCAATGAGGCTATCACCTTAGGCATCAAAAAAAAAAAATTCTAATATGTGCGTGTGTCATGTGTGTAATTGATATTTGTATTATTATATATTTAATTATAGATCAAAGAGAATAAAAAGTATTGATTATTTTGTCGATTAAAAAAAATCTTTA